GGACCACTTGCTTATAATAATCCATGGACTTTTGCTCTGCCACAAATCAAGTTCTCACTTTCTTTTCTAGTTTAGCAATTTGCACCCAGGGGCCCTAAACATACACACACCTTTCATATATCACAGATGCACCAACACCTAAAACTTGGTAAACCCAAGTGGGTATTGGCTAGCTCTCACCAAGTCCCACAGGTCTATACTCTGTGGTTAATACTTCTGTTTCATTTGTTCAGAGTTTGAAACAAAAAGTCTTTAAAAAAAACTCTTGTTACCTTTTTGTATTTTTAACTTAAAAAAACGGAATAATCCCCAAACAGTGTAAGAAGTCCAATAATTTGAGTGAGTTCCTAGCTGGTTTAAGTGTCAAAGCAGGCAATAGTAAAATGTGGAGTGCCTTTTAAAAATCAAAACAAATGCATAGAGCTGCGCATGCATTTTGTTGCCACAAAATTAAGACTGGATTTGGAGAGGGATTACTTCATTTAAGTCACATTGCTATTGTTAAAGAATAGTGAGTTAGAATGCAATATTTGGAACAAGTATATAACCACTTACACATTAGCATCACTTTATCCAGAAATGAACATATTAGTGTTACTAAATGAACATATTTATAAAATACTGTACACTCCTGCATTGGGTCAGCAGATGTAAACAAACAGCTAATTCAACTGGAGTTCATATTTGAAGTTCATTTGTCATTAGTCTTTTTTGCATAATATGCCAGGTTATCTTTCACAAAATTCACAACTTGCCTACCACAGTTTGCAGGGCTGGTTAGAGAATGTACATCAGCCTATACAAATAGTTTACAGTGGTCTACAGGGATGTGAAAAACTTAAAAGAGATTAGAAACAAAACACTCATTTTTACAAGAAAGCTAAATAACATGGAATTGAGAACATAATTAATCCTTGCAACATGTGCTTTTTTATTGAATGTTACAGATTTGTAATGATTATAAAGCTGTCCTGTAACGTTCATTAATACAACCACATGCTACAACTATGCTGGGTTAAAACCAGTTACATATATGTTTACATGTGTTTTATCATATGGCATTGTTCAACATATTGAATGGTATAGCCTATAGATAGCATGATGGATGACTGGATATTATTTATCATGATTAAAGAAGTTAAACAGTCCAACATTCACATTCAGGAAGATTAGACTGTATGGCCTCATAAAGTAGAACAAATGTACTATCCAGTTATCTACCATAATATTATCTATGGAAACCATCTCTAGAATGCACTTGAAACATTCAGCAGAAACACATTTTGTGTTTTTACAAATACATTTTTCCCATTTGATTATCCTCATATAATTTTAAAGGGGGGAGGGGAGCTTTCAAAGTGCTAAATAATATCCTAGATCTAGAAGCATAGACTTAAAAATAAATCCATTTCTATAAAGTGCTGTATTCTCAATGCATTCACAAGTACACCTTTTGGCTTGAAGAACTATAGAAATTAGCCACGACAATTGTGCTCAAGCTTTCCAGCTTCTCATTCAAATCCATCAGGGAAAGGGCTTATAAATATAAAGTATGTTAGTTAATCAGGACATTTCCATGGTCATTTTCATAAAACATCTTTCTTTTTTTTTTCTAAAAGGAACAAGCAATTTAGAACAAATCATTACATATGGTAGTATATAAAAATTGGCCCCTAAGATGATTAAACTAAAGCTATTACTTCCTTCAGCTCCCTATGATTTTATTTATGTTCCTCAATAAATTGCTGCTCACGCTGCTTAATTCACAGAGACAGGTAATTAACATCCCCTCGATCAGGGACATGGTGGAATAATTGAGCTGAACATAAGCTGACTTTACAAGGCCACAGAATCAATGCCACATTGGTATGCGGAAAACCCCCACATGGAAAGACATGGAATAAAACGTAACACACATGTATGTGCACAGGAAAGATAAATGGCTCATGAAAGTTACACAGGTCATGTTTAATCGTTTAAATTTGGCTTCTATATATCACACACTTCACGAGAGATGTTTAAACTTCATTTTCATGCACAAGAAAAGAACCAGATAGTCACAAGGTCAGGACTGTTAAGTGCTTTGTGTGCCAGGTCTTGGTCTGTTCTCTCCAGAAATGATGATGAATGGAAACACTCGTGTTCATCATTTCTTTCCCCCACTTGCAATCTGTTCCAGAACGAGGCCATGGAGGTGCCATGATGTCCTTTTCTGTGGTCAAAGAGTTATGGTTTCATCTCCTTCTGGCTTTTCCCCCCTATGGACTCTCTCAGAGAGCTTGCCGACTTTGTAAGTGTGTTCATACTTAGAATCAACCAAATGTGAGGATGTATGTGCATCAAACTAGTAAAATCTAATCTCAGGAACAGAACTAACAAAAATTTCAGTTGAAACTGCTGCTGAGACGAGGCCTTCCTGAGAATCACAGAGAAATGGGCTCAAATAACGTGCCCGTTACAACTCTATTGATTGTGAAGTAACATGGCTCTTCTTCCTTATTCTCCATCACCACAGAGCTGGGGGTAAACCCTTTAGATGTATATTGCAACTTGACATGTATGTACATTATTTTCTGGGAAGGAGTCCCAGAACTTTCATCAGATTCTCATAGAGATTGATGACTTAAGGAATTTGAAGGGCTATGGATTTAGTCTTAGACTGAATATACATTAGGAGTATATAGGAGGAGAAATAGTTAATGTCTGTGTGGTGGGGGGGTGTCCAATAAAAACATAAATATTTCTAGAGCAATTATATATGTGGGGCCAAGTTGCTTGTCTCTGGTTTACTGAAGTATCTTTGAGTTAAAAAAAAGGACTTCTTTCTTCTTTATAAGTGGCCTCATCACTATTTCTACAACTGAAAATCTTGTTCAGAAGGATTTTTTTTATGTAGGTAGAAGCTAGGATCTTTGTCCATGAATTTACTTGATTTCATATAGTGAGAAAGTGTGAAGTTCACAAGTACAACTAAACAAAAGGACCACAGAACATTTTGTGGCTGGAACATGAAGATATTTTTCAAAAAATTTTCTTCAGTTTTAAATCACAGTGATTGCATTAGGAATGCCAAGATTTGGGCATCAAGGTTTCTTTCAGCAGATTCTTCAAAGGCTAGGTTCTGATCTAGAAGCATATGCCTATATTCTAGTATCTATAATTTTTTTCTGGTTAGAATTGCACAATCTATCAGATTGAACATGGTGAAATCACTTTATGCAAGAGAAATCAAACTAAAGGAGATTATGATAGCAAGTGTTTTCTTGAATCACCTCCCAACCTCCTCAAACAGGCAGAGGGTAGGTACAGAGAGTTATTTTGGCAACTCTAGTTTGGTGCAAAGGAAAGTTAATTCCTGAATCGTGGGGATTAAAAAAACTAATTTCAACATTTTCCAGATAATATCATGAATTCCTCCTGTGGAACCCCTTGGATATTAAAAACTTCTTGTTATGCCTCAAGAAGATAGAAAAGTCTAAACCTCTGTATCTGTTTATATACTATACATTAACATGTCTCTCTGTGTAAATGCATACTTATTTATATATGTGGTGTATACTATAGAACTCTTTCTATGGTTTATCTGCTATTTTACTATAATGTATCTTTTTTATAGCTCCGTGTATAAGAAAAATATTCATGGCAAATCAGCAGCTAATGGCTTTGGGTTGTTACCCCATGCCCAGTCAATTCTAAAGTTATTTATGATTGTGAAACTTCCTTAAAAATAACTTTGGAACATCCATAAAAAAGACACCAGCCCTTGAAAAACTCCAATTTGATAGAGAGCCCAGATTAAATGGCAAAACTCTTAAGTATGAAAATATCCACATGTAACCAGAGATTCATATACAAAATGGTCATGTGATGAGTGGTATGAAAAATTGGCAGTTATATCTTGCAGAGGCTCAGAAGACATGGTGGATTCATGAAAATGATGAAGGTCACACAACAGAAAAACATGACACAGAGGGTGAGAATAGAACGATATCCCATATGGTAATTTCAGGTGAGTTCTGCCCACATTTTTTTTTAGTTCACTATCACATATACAGTGAATAAGTGCATCAATGGAAGGTGAGATACAAAATAAAATTTAAAATATAAAATCATTTAATTACATTCACCTTGAACTTGCTTAATTATACTTGGATGCCCCCTGTATATAATGAACCACTAGACTTTTTTTTTTTTAAACATGAATTCTTCTTTCATTTTGATTGCAATTTAAAAAAAAAGGCATTTCTTTTCCATCATTTTCTTCAAAAGAGAGAAAACAGTTGTGGCACCAGAAGTGAATAGATAAGACAGGTGAACTAGGACTGTTACCTGGTGTTTTCTTTATAATGATCAATTACAGAAGTGTTGGCATGAGAAGGATGTAAGACGTTAGGTAGAACTGCTTGCTGCCGGCTTATACTGAATAAAAGGGATGCTCTTCATCAGTCACCAGTGATGGAGCCAATGTGAAAAGAAAACAGAATGGAAGTTTAGAATATCTCATTTGTATACTGGCTACTTATTTTATTTTATTTTATTTTGCAACTTAGCCCTGCCTGCTAGAACTCTCGGTTACGTTCCAAATGCAAAAACGCCTCCTGGCCTGGAGCGTGCTGAAGCCCCCGTGATTCCCAGAGCACAGCTTTCTGAAGCGCCTAGCGATGCACATTCATCTCTTTAACCCTTCTTCTCCCGCTCCTCTCCCCTCCCTGCCCCTCCATCCAAAGCGAACCTGCCTTCTCTCCCCCTGCCTGCGTTAGGCACTGGGTCAGCTCAAAGGTGGTCTTGATCGCTGGCCCAGCAGCCCCCCTTCAAGGCATTGTTTGGTTTGCTCAACTAAGAACGAAGCAGGTTATATGTTGCCAGGAAGCAGGGGGGGTGGGAAAGGGTAGCGGTCAGGAGCAATTAGGGGGTGAGAATGCGGGGCGGGATGCGGGAGGTGGTGGCTGGATTCTGGAGCCTTCCTGCGCTGCGGCCCAAGCAGGTTTTTTTTTTTTTTTTTAGTTGTGCTTGCTTTCGAAGCTGTGGAAAGCGGACGTTCTGGACAGTCTCCGCATGGACAAGCTGTCCCCTCGGCCTTCTGGCTTGGAGGACTTACTTCTCTGGAAGGGGTTTCGCAGGCTGGCCGTGGTCCGCGGCCGGTCCAGCCTGTCGCTGATGGAGAAGCTCTTCCTGGCGTGCGCGTAGGGCGCGCTGGGCTCGTCGGCCGAGTAGCTGTTGGCGCGCTCGATCTTGGGCACGGTGATGTTGTTGGCCAGGGCGCTGCGCTGGGCGTCGTCGGCCTCCTGCGGGGGGCCCTCGGGGCCGCCCCTCGGCCCTTTGGGCTCGTTCTCGTCGCTGTCGGAGCTGGGGTGGCTCAGCTCGGCCTCGCGCTCCGGGTGGCAGCACGACGCGTCCTCCGCCGGGCCCCCCGGCGCCCCGGGGAAGGCGGCGCGGTCGGCCACGGCCTGCGGGGCGTGCACGCAGCGCGTGTCGATGCAGTCCGTGATGCTCGTGTACTCCGCCGTCTTCACGGGCACCCCGAAGTTGGCGTAGTAGCTCCTGGACGGCGAGGACACGAAGCTGTGCGACTTCACCAGGGGCGCATCTTCCAGCGGGAAGGGCGCGGCGGCGGCGCCCAGGTAGCGGCTGCTCTTGGAGCGCTCGATGGTGTGGTACAGGGGCGGCTCCGCGTCCCAGGGGGCGAGGCCCTCGGGGAGGGGGGCGTAGTCCGAAGAGAAGGACCTGGTGTCCAGGGAGGTGATGTCCTCGCAGTCGAGGCTGCGGCTCGGGGGGCGGTCGCTGGGCGCCAGGGTGGCGTAGGCACTGCTGGAAGGGGCCGCCGAGGCCAGCGGGCTGCAGAAGCTCGGCTCGCCCAGCCCCAGGATGTTCATGGACGGGTCCCCCAGCGGGTCCATGTCCCCGTGGAGCTCGTCCATGGCCGAGACGTAGATGTCGATGCACGAGGACGGCCTCCGGGAGTCGGGGACAATGGCCAGGGTGTTGGCCGGGGCGGCGGGCGCTTTGGGCTCCTTGGCTACCGAGTGGGAACTAGTCGCCCGGTGCAGGCTCAGGGACCTCTCTTTCAACAGACTCTCCAGCTTGTCTACACCACCTTTGTCTTTCACATGAACCGAATAAAAGGAATGGCTTCGCATACGGGGCATTAGGGTGGGAGAAGTTGGGGACAAGGTCTCCTCACCTGCAGGGTCGAGACTCTCTTGGAGCTTGAAGGTGTTGCCCTCCTGGCTGTTGAAACTGCTCTGGCGCACGATGTAGGCTGCGTCGGTGCAGTCCGAGGAGGTCCGCGAGCGGATCTTGTTGGACTCGGCCCGCTCCAGGCCGGTCAGGCGCTCCAGGGCGGTGGCCATGCGCCCGATGAGGTCCTCGAGCTGAGCCAGGCGGATGTCCACGGTCTGCAGCGACGCCTTCATGCAGTGCTCCCTCTCGTTCACCTCCTCCAGCCGCATGGACATGTTCTCCACCCTGCGTGCGAGAAAGGGAGGGTCACTTCCGGCCACCGCTGTGCAGGACCACCGTGGGGACACGCGGGCGGGCATCCAGGACCTGCTGCGAGAAGGGGCTGCGGGGAAGCCAGAATCACCGCCTCTTTCTCAAATCCGAAATCTTTCCCCGCTGCAGGAAGTTTTCAAGGCTACCAGAGCCAGTGGTTTCAAACCGTCAATCTCCTTTCCAGGCAAAACCCTACCTCTGCAACCCTTGACTCCTTTCCTATCAAAACCCTATATTTTGATGCGGAGCAGTGGGGTAGTTTGGACCACACTGGGCGGTGCTCAGGGTTGACTCTTGGCTCTGTACTTGGGAATCCCTCTTGGAGCACCTTAGGTGCTCTAACTGGGGTCAGCCACATTCAAGGCAAGTGCCTTATGCTCTGTACTATCTCTCTGGTCTCAGTGAAAAACCCTATTCAACAGGCAAGTTTCATAATCCTTAGTGAAATATGGTAGGACCTTAGTATCACCGTTTCAACTCCTCTGCCAGCTCCCAGACTTAACTGTGGCTTGGGGAAAACTTTAGTGACCTAAGTAAGTTGGCCCTATTAAAGAAAAGTGTTGCATTTTGATCTCAGGATTTTAGAAGGTAGCTATCTGATAATAGAAAAAATGTATTTTGTGGCCTGGGTTATTTGTATTCTGCATTTCTGCCATTTTCTTGTTATCTGTAATAATCTTTTTAGGACTTGATGCCTCCAAAATCAGGTCCTACTATTGATCTGGGCTGGAGCGATAGCACAGTGGCAGGGCATTTGCCTTACAAGTGGCCAACTTGGCCGACCCGAGTTTGATTCCTCCGCCCCTCTCGGAGAGCCCGGCGAGCTCTCGAGAGTATCTCGCCCACACGGCAGAGCCTGGCCAGCTACCCGTGACGTATTTGATATGCCAAAACACAGTAACAACAAGTCTCATGATGGAGACGTTTCTGGGCCTACTCGAGCAAATCGATGAATAACGGGAGGACTGTGACCGTGACTATTGATGTAGCCCAACTGATAAAGGAGAAATAAACAACAAGAAATTTAGCTAGGATGACATGAAGTTGTTGGTGGCAAGCTCTGCAGCATCAAGGAGTAAATTATTCTTCGCTTTTTCTGTCTTTCCCATCAACTTATCACAGATGCCTTGTACACAGCTGTTTCTAGATGTGTTGGCCCTTCCCACTGGAATTTAGTGTTGTTTTGTTTCTGGATCACACCCAGTGGGGCTCAGGGCTCACTCCTGGCTCTGTGCTCCAGGATGACTCCATATGTAGTGCCCAGAATTGAACAGGGGAAGCGTCCTGCAAGGCCAATGGCTTAACCTCTGTGACATTTCTCTGGCTGTTGGAGAGTCTCAAGGGCGTGATATATCTCATATTACTGCTTCCATCTCTATTGTTACACCAGTAACTTGCCAGTGTGAATGAGTGTTCATTCAGCCAACCATTGCTAGGAATTTGATTTCAATGATCTAATCTGGGTCGCCTGCCCCTTATTTATAGATAGAGATCACTTTTTAAAAATAAAATTGTGCCGCATTTGTGCATGCATAACTTGGAAAGGATAAACTAAAGCCGAGTGATGGTTTGAAACCAAAATTCCACTTGTAAATCCTCAAGGGCAAAATCTGAGGAAGTTCTAAGTGAGATTCATTTGCAACTTTTCTAGAGCAGGGGAAGGTATTTTCCAACCCGTTTCCTAAGCATCCTCAATCCCAGAACGAGTCTGCATGTGCAAGATGTGATTTCTAAAGAACAGCTGAGCTTAGAGCTCAGTCCCGCCCCTTTTCCACAGTTGCGGTGACCATAATCACAGCATCTCTATAAGGACACATATTCCAGTGCCAGGAGGCATGAGTGACCAGTGGAGCTCCCCGCTCAGAGGGCTCTGTCGGTTCTTAAGAAAGTTTGCTCCCAGAAACCAATCTCATAATTATCTGACTCTCAGCAGAAATATTTCCAGGCTTAATAAGTAAAATACCAGAAATCCAAAATCGCGCGGCCGCAAAAGCGGCCACGCGACATCATTTGATTCTTGTGACCAGCTGTAGAAAACAAATTATTTCACAATGCCTTTTCAGCATGTCTGATTTGGGGGTGTAAACTCTAAATAATAATGGTGCATCTTTTGTCGAAACAATGAATCTAATCAAAGTAGATAGAGTGTTGACTGGAATTCATGTGCCTCACAGGCACTGGGAGGGTTGGGAGGGGGGAGTTTATTGGGTTCTTCGTAGTGTAAAATAAGTAAAGGGAAATGTGTTTGATATTTGCATGACCGAGACTTAAACCTGAATGCTTTGTAACTTTTCCCACAGTGGGTCAATAAATAAATAAATAAATATATTTTTTTTTAAAAAAGAAGAAAGTTTGCTCCTCTGCTGTTCAAGGGTTGTGTGAGTTTTGGAGATACGTTTCATTTCTGCCTCTCAGCATCATTCCCATTTATCCACCCATCCTGCTCTTTCACCCCCGAGCTTCCTTTCACTCCTGAACTTCCCTACACCGCACCCAAGAATCTGGAATGCTTTCAGTAGAAAACTGATTTGGAAATATTTTGTCTTTTGCTTATTCCTGCTGCCCCATCATCAACCCGCACCTCCCAGGATTCAGCTTCATCCTGCCCCCATGGCTAAGCTTACTGTGAAAACATACAACAATTTGTGAAGTGAGTTACTCTCTATCTGGCAAACCTCATGCTAGTCAGCCAGCTCTGGAGCAAAATATAAGTCATATCATTTTTGTGTAGTTTTGTGGTATTAACATTTCAGGAAACAAGTTACTTGTAATAATAAGTTTGTATATTTTACTTGTCTTGCACTCATTCCACCATGGTTTGATTCCCAGGCATCTCATATTAGTCCCCACCTGAGCACTAGAGCCAGAAGTAAGTCCTGAGCATAGCCAGGTGTGTCCCCAAAACAATAAAATTTGTGTATCTTAGAACTTACTCTGCCTGCCTGCTTTCTTTCCTTCCTTCTTTCTTTCTTTCTTTCTTTCTTTCTTTCTTTCTTTCTTTCTTTCTTTCTCTCTCTTTCTCTCTTTCTTGATTTCTCTCTTTCTCCCTTTTTCTTTCCTATCTAGCCTATGGAGTTTGATTTTGTAAGTATTGTGATGTCATTTATGGCAATGCCAAAAGTAAATGGATAAAATACTTCATTCAAGTCAGGAACAAGATAGACCAGGAGTTTTGGTAGAAAGAGACTTGTTCTTTTTGTAGATTTCAGGTACTACGTTTCCTGAGTTTTTAGTGTTGGCAGAATACCACAAGACAGGATGTGTTTTTTTCCCTCCCGTCCTTTCCTGGAATCTAGTGTATGCAGGGTTATGTGGAAAGAGCTGAGAATTCTCTTCTAAGGACAACTGAGTGTAATGATTGGCCTGAGTACTAGGAAATAACTACCTGCATTGTGACCATCTCCTTCCCTGCACCCCTTTCTACCCATCTTGAGCTCCAGGCCCCAACACAGCAGAAAAAATTATTAGGTAAGAAGCAGAGCCAAGTGCCAGCAAGAGGGAACAACAGATACTGTGGGCAGTGAACTTGGCTCTAAGTGTTAGGAGCCCATGAGGGTGGAAGGAGGGGAGAAGAGGCCCTAGGAGGAATGAAAATACCCACATAAAGCAAAAATGTGGGAATGTCAAGAGCTCAGAAAAAGAAGCATGACTGAGATAATGGGAACAGGGGAAGAACTGCTAGAACAGAGTCAAGGAGATATCCTTAGTGGAATCTTAACTCATGGATTCTTAGATGCATAGGCATATAGACTTGAATTTTTAGGCTAGAGTTGGCTCAAGGGCAGAGCACCTGCCTTGAAATATAAAGCCCTGGGTTTGATTACTGGCATCACTTGTTTGGTGCTCCAAGAACCACCAGGAGTGGGGCTGGAGCCATAGCACAGCGGGTAGGGCGTTTGCCTTGCATGCAGCCAACATGGCCAACACAGGTTCGATTCCCAGCATCCCATATGGTCCTCCGAGCACTGCCCGGCGTTATTCCTGAGTGCATGAGCCAGGAGTAATCCCTGAGCATCGCCGGGTGTGACCCAAAAAGAAAAAAAAAAAGAATCACCCTTGTGAACTGAGCCAGGAGGAGACCCAAAACACTGCCACCCACGATCCTTCTCACCCTTAATACTTGACTTAAAAAAAAAGACTGGAGCAATACTATAGCAGGTAGGGCATTTGCCTTGCATGAAGCTGACAGGGATTCAGTCCCCTAGCATCTCATATGGCCCCTGAGCCCTGTTAGGGGTAATTCCTGAGTGCAGGACGAGGAATAGCCACTGAGTACCTCTGGGTATGGCCCAGATCTCCTCCCTAAAAAATAAGTAAAGAAGCTAGTGAGCTTACAAAATGACTCAGTGGTTCAAAAGTCCTGCTTTGCAAGTGTAAGGTCACAAGTTCAATGTCTGGTGCCATCCACATATACTGAGTGTTGTTTTGATGAATCTGCAGTCTCATACCCCCAGTATCAAAATGAATATGTGAGTTCTGGTACCCAGGCAGGTGTGTGAGCACAGAAATGCAAATATGAGAACCTTGGCAAGAAGAGCTAAAAGATGTGTGAGCTCCATGACCCAAGTGAGACCGCTGGTGACCACGTGTGTGAGCGAAGTGTGTGGTTCTGAGAGGTAAGTGTGGGAGCCTGGGTATTGGACAGTAGCAACAGGGAAGGGAAGGGGAATGAATTCTTTCTCCATTTTTGTCTTCATTTTCTGCATGTGTTTAACTACATTCTCATTAGATCATTGAATGAAAAGATCTTTTGGTTATGGATGTAATGGACAGGATTATGGTGTAAGAGATTATTTGTTGTTTATTTTGGGGTCTCCCAAGCAGGTCTCTCCTGGTGATTTTCAGCCAAATATAACAGTGGTTCAGTGTGGACGTGAAGTGCCTGGGATTACTTGGGCCACCCCAGTGGAGTTCAGGGCCTCCCAGGCTGAACCAGCAATGTCTGGACCACATGGTGCTGGGGCCTGAACTGG